ATTTTACAAAATATTGAGTCATTATTAAACTTAAAGCCCGAAACAAAGTGATGCATTGATGTTCTTCCATTTGGATCATGGACTTTAATATTTTCTTTTTAAAATATGTAAAATAATATGAATAACAATTGTAGCAGAATTTCCTTTACTTCTCTTTTTCCTTCTAACTCTTGTAATAAATCCTTCAAATTATTGCCCTTACTCATGGTTAGTTGTGTAGCATCTTATTTCCCTTTTGTCATTAGAATGTTGAAAATTATAAAGCGCAGCACGTAACTTCAGGGATATAAGAATCGCATATATATATATATATATATATATATATATATATATATATATATATATATATATATATATATATATATGTATATGTATCAGGAAAAACAGCATCTTTAGGTTCTTCTTCCCATTTTACTTCGTTTTTAAACATATAATATCCATGCCCGGGCATTACTTTGCTGTTCAAAAGTTCTGCATTTATCAATTTTTTTTACAAATAATCAATTGAAACTGTTCTGTTATACATCATGCCACAGCGTGTTCACTCTTGCTGGAACTAGGATAATGTCATTCCTGACCTAAAAGTAATACCCGCGAGAAAAGAAATTAAAGTGATCAATTCCACTCATCTTTGCTAGAATATCTCGCATTCCCAGTACAATTAATAACCAAGTCTCGCTTTAATTATTTTTTATTTATTTATGATATATTTTTAAAAAATAAAATTATAAAAGATTATAATTTTAAAATAGATAAAATGTGTTAATTGATTTTCATAATATTATCATCAGATTAAAACATTTTCGTTTTTATATAAAATTAAAACAAAACTTAGTTATATTTTTAATTATAGATGAAAATATACTTTTAATTTCAAATTCAAAAATAAATATATATATTTTTTTGTTTTTAAGTATTAAGTTTGATAAATTAAAATTATTTTTAAAATTAAATTTGAAAATTTAAAATCATATTTTTAAAAATTGAGAAAATAAAATGATTTTTTAATATTCAGGGTGAAAATAATCTTAACCAACTAGATAATTATATGGTAAACATTTACACATTTTATATATATAAAAAAAAAATTATATGAGGGACGGAGTGTGTGCATTTCTCATGCACTATGAACTAGACAATTGGTCAAACAAAAGTTGTCGGACAAAGAAGAGGTTAATAGTCATAGGAACAAGGAACAAAAGAAAGTGTCCGATCTCTTTTTCTAAAGCGCCGCGATTACCTATCTTTGATTTGTGAAATTTCGTACCAAAGTTCTGGTACCTTCATAATAATAATAATTATTATTATTATTATTTGTAATTAATGGTATCACAAATATAGTGAGAAAGGAGATAAAGAGAATATAATGGTTTTAGTTTAGGCTTGGGCGGTTCATCGCAGCACTAGCACCTCAAAGCACAAAGGAAAGACAACATCATGGTATGTAGTAAGACAAAATATATCATCATCACCATCACCACGAGGAGGATGTGTGAGAATAGAAAATCTAATTTCTTAAACGTTGGTTTTCAAAAAGGGTTAAGCACTTTAGTTCCATTACAATAGTGGAAAATGAAAAACCAAACACACATGTCATCCTCTCAATCACAATTATGTAACAATATCGTGCTATCCTCTTTGCATCTAATGTTTTAGGTAGTGATGGGTTTGGGCGATGTAGAGAAAGCTAACTAGGGTTGTGTGTTGGTGAACGTGAGATGGTGCAACATGTTTGATGGGGTTTACGCAAGTTGAGTGAGAAAGACTGAAATTTTCATGAGAATGGACGAGAAACTTGACTTGGAAACTTAGAAGTTGAATGTCAAAAAGTTTGAACTGAGAAGGTTAACCAGAAAAGGCAAATATGAAAAGAGACAGATCCCGCATGGTTTGCAAGCATGTTCCTTGTTGAAGATGATGTGCATTCATGAAAACCATATTCGTGGAAACCTAAAACAGACAGAGAATATCATATCCAACACACTGCTCAAGATCTATCGCAAGACCAAACAGATAGAAACATTATCATCGTAAGACAGAGCATTGTTGTATTTGCTTTTTATGGGCATATCACTATTGCAGTGACATTCATGTTGGAAACTCTTCCAAATAACAATCGTACTCGTACCGTACACATATTCACATCAAACTCTTCACAAGTGCATCGAAGACACCAAGTTCTATTTTACCATTTGTTTTTTTGTTTTATTTTTAAACTCTTTCTGCAAAATAATTTAGAACATCACGACAGTTAGTTAAATTTTAACAGATTGCACAGTGCAAAAAGGCCAGCAGAAACACTAATAAAGTGTTATTTCTGGTCCCATGGAAAGAGATCACCAAGAAGAAGGTTGGAAAAAATGTTTAAGAGCAATGCCATTATAAACAATATCTCCACAAATTTTAGATTTCATTTTTAACCAGACAAAATGTTTGGTGATTCATGTGATTGACCTCTCTTCATATGATTTTAATAATTAAACATGTCAATCACACATAAAAATACATCTAAATTTAAAATGGAAAAGCATGTATGAATGAATGATGAAGATGAGAAGAGCTCCAAACCATAATGAAAGTGTGAATGTTGAAAAAATATTTACAAAAATTATAATATGGATTGAATTAAATATGATAATGAACCTTATTCAACATAAATATTTATATGTGGGATCCTGATGATAACAATAAATATTTATAATAATTATTTTGACATTACTACAAATGGTTTATATATAATATCATTTTTTATTTTAAATATAAAACTATAATATTATTTATTTTTATGTCTTATTTATTTATTTTAATAAAATATTATTTTTAGTTTTTTTTTTAATTTATTTGCTCTAGTATAAAGCAAGAATTATAAAATAAAAATAATATTTTTTTTCAAATTAAACACCTATAATTTTTTCCTTTATTTATAAAAGAAAAAGTGGCCATGAAAAATCACAATTTTTTTTTAATTTCACAAACACTTATTATAATATTATGTTTTAGTTTTAATTTTTATTTTTATTTTTATAAAAAGAATAATAAAAAGAAATCAAATTATTTTATTATATTTTATAATAGAAATAAAAAATTGATATAAAATAATTATTTATAAAATCAAAGTTTATAATTCATTCATATATTTATTTGTGAGAAGTGATTTGAGAGGATTTAAGTTTTTCTTTTATTTTAAATTGAGAAATACTAAGAATAAAAATAAAAAAATTTAAGAAAAAAAATTAGATAAAAATAATATTTTGTTTTTATAAAATATAAATAGATGAAAAATAAAGTTAATTTAAAAATATATAATTTAACTAACTTAATAGAGATAAATGATTCAAAATATTTTAAATCCACAAGTGCTCATATGAGCATTCACATTATGAAATGCCATTCTTCCATATTACATGCAAATGTTGATCATTATAAAAGATACGAACTGACGTTAATGTTTGAACTTAGATAGAGTTCTTTAATTTTGTTTTTATATATATAAAAATATATATAATAATTTTAAAACCAGTAATCAATTTATGTTGAATTATGCTGTGAATATTAATAATTTAAAATTATTATAAAAAAAATAAATTTACTGACAAATAATTTTACCTATCATACATATAGTTCCTCAATAAGTTTGGTATTATACAGGTGGAACTTTACTAAAGAAATTTTACTGATAAATATGTTCATCCTTATAAGCAATATTTGTCAATAATTTTGATCATTGATAAGTTTGATATCATTCATCTGGAATTCTTCTTTGATCTCTTGATCCATCCAAATCAATGTTGGTCAACATCGCAAATGTGGGGATTGTTTGACTATATATTTATATGATTAAATTTGATCTAGTATACATATATATTATGTTTGTTATTTGGTTTAAGAGAATTTGAGGCTAGTTACCAAAAATTAGGGAGAAATTACCATGTACATTATCAATGAATGGATAAATTGTGCAATAAACAGAATAGATGTTACATTGCCAATAATTACTGAAATAAACCTTTCATAATTTATTGATAGAAAAATTGGTCAATAAATATTATTGAATAATCAACACCTAAGGTGAATCAATATTTTTTTCATATTTATACATTTCTTTTAAAGTGATTTTTTTTTAAAACATACATTTTTTAAGGTTAATTTTTATACCTAAGACGCATACAACTTTTTATTATATAATAATAATAATAACAATAATAAGTTTTTATAATTATTATATAATATAATGGAGTTATGAACTATACTTTTATACCAAATAATCAATGGTTAACACACATTTTTATTTATATTTTATTTAGTAACATTTTTTAAGTGAAAGTTGAATTCTTATTATTATTTTTTTATCCGAATTTAAAAAATATTTAAAATATGTAAAATTTTGTGGTTATGCCATATTTTTCATGTGTTACATGCATGATAGTTTGTGATATTTGTAAGACTGTTCCTTAGGCCACCTAGGTACTGTACGCATAAATGGTGTCTTTATATGAATGGAGCATGTTTATTGTGGCAAAGTGCTAGTTATAATAATACTCAGCGACTTGTCTTAATTATCGATAAACCTCAGAAATATTATGCACCCTTGCTCAGCAAGGAAAGCAGACTATAAAAGAAAACTATAAAGGTGACCTGAGGAAAAAACGTTTGGTTATAGCCACACTCACTCTCTTTAGAAAAGAGAAGATGAGAAAAAGTAAACAAGACGGAGATCATAAGCAATGGTTCAGAATTTCTAGTTTTTAGGTGAGAATGGTTCCCTTGGAATAATTCTTAGATTAAAAGATGGTGGAACCCACCATCCATGCGAGTCCTAAAACAGTATCTTGGTTAGTGCACAGTGAACATCTTAGCTTTGCTATATATACATTTAGATGTGTGCTCCTCCTCACTGCACCACGGGAAGCAAAGTTAAAAGGAACTTCTTAACTTCTCTCACGCCTCAATTTCACTATCACCACCAACAAAACACTACAAATCTCTCACTTTCTTCAGCCATGACAGAAAACTGCATAGCACCCAAACCAGACCACAGCAACAGTCACCCTGAAGAAGGACCACCTAAGATGACTGAGACTGCTCTTCCCATACAAACAAACGAGCAATCTTTTCTAAAACTGGCTATGTACCCCATAACATTGAAGGTCCCTTATTTTACTATTTTAGTAGTATATACCATTTTATTGATTCTACACCACCAGCTCCTTATATATTCATTCGTGGGGTATTACTGTTTAACTATGGCCTCTGTTTTGTTTCCATTTGCAGTTTGAGGAATTGGTGTACAAAGTTAAAGTAGAGCAGAAGGGTGTGTGCTGGGGGAGCACAAGGAGTTCAAGAGAGAAGACCATACTGAAAGGAGTCACTGGTATGGTTTGTCCAGGAGAAATAATGGCTATGTTGGGGCCATCTGGCAGTGGCAAAACCACACTTCTCACAGCCCTTGGAGGAAGGCTTAGTGGCAAACTATCTGGAAAGGTCACATACAACAACCAGCCTTTTTCAGGTGCCATAAAAAGAAGAACAGGTTTTGTGGCCCAGGATGATGTGTTATACCCTCATCTCACTGTGACTGAGACTCTACTCTTCACCGCACTTCTGAGGCTCCCCAACAGCTTGACCAAGGAAGAAAAAGTTCAGCATGTAGAACATGTTATCAGTGAGCTAGGACTGAGCCGGTGCAGGGGTAGCATGATTGGAGGCCCACTTTTCAGAGGGATATCAGGAGGGGAGAGAAAGAGGGTGAGCATAGGCCAGGAAATGCTCATCAATCCAAGCCTGTTGCTGCTTGATGAGCCCACTTCAGGGTTGGACTCTACAACAGCCCAAAGGATCATATCTACAATCAAAAGCTTGGCTAGTGGGGGGAGAACTGTTGTCACCACCATTCATCAACCCTCTAGTCGCCTCTATCACATGTTTGATAAAGTGGTCTTGCTCTCTGAAGGATGCCCCATCTATTATGGCCCTGCTTCAACTGCAATGGACTACTTTTCTTCTGTTGGTTTTTCCACGTCCATGATTGTCAATCCAGCAGATTTGTTGCTTGATCTTGCCAATGGTAATATTCTTTCTTTTTAATTTAATCCAATCACTCTTTTACTTTTTATCGTGGATTAAATTATTAGTAATAGTATTATGCAGTCACGAATCCGTAGAACTAATTTATATATATACACAAATATTCCTGAAGCTTTGATTTTTAAGTGTGTCAAATGACGTGGTTTGATCTATGTAACCGACTTCACCTTCTTGTTGTATCATGGAATCATTCATGGTCTGCCCTACTGGAATTATTTTTCTGCATGTTTTTCTTTTTCCCTGAGATGAATTATAGTGAGACCTCGCTTTCAGTTATCTATGTTTACTGAAATGACTTGTTTAAACAGAACCAAATTTGTGTGTTGTTAAACACATACAAAGTCTTGACAATGATGAGAAACTGCAGGGATTGCTCCGGACTCCTCCAAGCATACAACTGAACAAAGTGAAAGCCAGGATGCAGAAAAGAAGTTGGTTAGAGAAGCATTAATCTCTGCTTATGACAAAAATATAGCTACTAAAGTGAAAGATGAGTTATGCAGCTTTGAATTGAATAACTACAAAGTCATTAAGGATGCTTCCACAAGTAAGTGTTTTAACTTTTCAGTGAAAAAATTCACAGGCATATCCTTCGAATATTAATTAGGTTAGATAAATCTTATAGGTCTGAAATACATTTGTTGCTCAATTGATGCAGGAAATCACACAAAACCCGAGCAATGGTGCACAAGTTGGTGGCATCAGTTCAAAGTGCTGTTGCAAAGGGGGCTGAGGGAGAGAAGGTTTGAAGCCTTCAACAGGCTGAGAATATTCCAAGTCATAAGTGTTGCTTTTCTTGGAGGACTTCTGTGGTGGCACACCCCAGAATCACACGTTGGAGATCGGGTAAGAGTTTTTTCAATTTCAGTAACTAGATAATTATTGACTAGTAAGAACAGAACATCATCAACTAACTCAAGTTTTGTTAAAATATCATTGGTCCTACTCCCTCTTCACATTCAAGTAATATTATATTCATGTCCAAATCACAAATCATTTCAGAGTTTCTGTCCTCTACACAAACAAAACTAAAAAGTTTCTTAAGTTTAAAATATGATTTGTGTTCTTTTGTCCTTACAGGTTCTTATCTGTTTTCAATTAAAATGGGTGTTTCATCTTAACAGTTTATGTTGACGTTTAATGTAATTTTTTATTATGTTTGAATTATTGAAATAAAATTCTAATTCTGATGGAAGAATAACAAAAAATATCTAAACAACTTCATCTAACTTATCCTTTTATTTATTTATTTATTTATTTATTAAGAGCATTTTTTTTGTTTTTATTCTTATCTAAAAGGTATTTGTTATTACAAAGAATCTTGTGTAGTAAATAATATCTTGGATTTATAGTAAATATTTTGGTCTTTAACAAGGTGTGATATATTTATACCTAATCGCAAGTGGAATAAGACCATTGTTATTGTTGTTACCTAAAATCATTAAGAAGATCTGACATGGAGTTGTATTGAAAATGCAGATAGCCCTGCTATTTTTCTTCTCTGTCTTCTGGGGATTCTACCCTCTCTACAATGCTGTTTTCACATTTCCACAAGAGAGAAGAATGCTGATCAAGGAACGTTCATCTGGGATGTACCGTCTTTCTTCCTACTTTCTAGCTAGAACAGTAGGAGACTTGCCAATAGAGCTTGCACTTCCAACTGCATTTGTCTTCATAATCTATTGGATGGGAGGGCTTAAGCCTCATCCAGTGACCTTTCTCCTTTCCCTCCTAGTGGTCCTTTACAGTGTCCTTGTCTCTCAAAGCCTTGGCTTAGCACTTGGTGCCATTTTGATGGAGGTCAAACAGGCCACTACTTTAGCTTCTGTGACAACCCTTGTGTTTCTCATTGCTGGAGGCTACTATATACAACAGATTCCTCCCTTCATAGAGTGGCTCAAGTACTTAAGCTATAGCTACTACTGCTACAAGCTTCTTGTTGGTGTACAGTACAATTATGATGATTATTATGAGTGCTCAAAAGGGGTATTGTGCAAGGTTGGAGAATTTCCTCCAATCAAATCAGTGGGTTTGAACCACTTGTGGGTTGATGTGGCTATTATGGCCATGATGTTGGTAGGTTACCGACTAGTTGCTTATTTAGCACTGCAGAGAGTGAGGTAGAGCAAAGATGTGACTTAGCTACTATACACATAACAAGAGGACTTTGGAAGAGTTTTGTCCTAAGTTAACTAAGTCAGGAATAACACTAGAATATTGTATTTTTGGTGGAAGTTATGTAATGAAATTTTGATCAACTTTTTAAGTTGGAGGTTTTCAATTTAGTTTATATTCTATGCACCAATAGTGTAAATTTTTTTACAAAGTGAATCAATTAAAATCATCATCAATATGACTGTTATCTTACATTCCAATTTGTGATTTGATAACTATAGATGAACTATTTACTCCTTTTTTAGAATTTTATAAAACACCAACTTACTTTAGAATAAAACTCAGTGCCTGAAGACAAGGGATAAGTCACAAGATAAGAGGCAAAGATAAGAACATACGCATTTAATCTGCAAGATAGGTCAAGGATTGCGACCAGACACTAAGGTTAAGTAACTCAACTGTTGATCATTATTAGGCCTTTGAAACCAAGTTGTTGTTTCATATTTTCCTGCATAAACTACAAGAGAGGATAATGATAGGAATAATATTCCCCCCCCCCAAAAGGCACTGACAAACAGATATTTTTAATGAAATGAAAACCATCAAGTAGTTTAGCTCCATTTGCTGCTAAAAACTAATGTGCTGAGAAAGTTGGAAGTATGAGTATGCATACGAATATTGAGCCAACCAATCAAAAGCTGTGGAAATGATATAAAGATTTGAAGCCTGATCATTGTTATGATTAAGCTATAGTTAATGCACATAATGAAAAGTCAAATTAAAATAATTGGCGATTGAGTCTGAAAGTGGGAGCATGACCAAGTGTTTTAGGAATCTTATTAAAGAAGCACAATGCACTTTCCACTCTAATATCGTATTAATGTCCTTTTCACAACATAATTAACAAAAAATAATGTTAAAACATCTCTTTAATTTGTAATGGATTTTGTCCCAGCAGTTCAAGTATACTTGTCGATTCAGTAGGCTGCCACGTGGACAATGGCATTGATAATAATATCAATATCGTATGATATTAGACATCCTGAAATTACATAACCATCACTATCTTTCGTCAGTTACAGTAATCTCCCTAAAGTTACTATAATGTAAAATTGTTAGTGTAATACCTCCTCTATTTTATTTTTCAATATATTAGATTACGATTTGATTCCACAAATTAATAAAAATATTAATTTAAATAAACTTATTAATTTTTTAATAATATTTTTATTATTTTAAAATTTGTTCTATTTAAAATTATTTATGATGATTTGTTATTTTTCTCTTCACTGAATATAATTAAATGAGTATAATTAATTTTTTCATATAAAGTATAAGATTGCATTAATTATTTTTTATTATATTTTTATCTTTTAATTTCTATATTTATTATACAAAAGATAGTAAAATTTGTTAACCGAAGAAAAAATAAAATAACGAAGATATTATTGAAAAAAGATCATATTTATTGTAATAATATTAATATATTTTTTAACCAAATCTTCAACTATACATATTAAAAATAGAGGGAATGATTGATCTAATCAATGAACAATTACAAAAAATAGATAATTAATAGATATAAAAGAAAAAAAAAGTGTTCATAATTAAAAAAAAATCCTTGATATAAATTACTAAAAATAGTAATGTCATGTGTCTCTAATGCTATAAGATTAAGTAGAGTGAAAACAAAATTACCTATTAATTATTTGTCTAATCTATTCACAATTATCTAATATATTAAGAAGTAAAACCAGTTCAATAAATCAATTATAAAAATATAAAAAGTTCAATTAAATTCACCATTTATATTTTATGGGTGATTAATTATTTATTTATCATGTTTCCAAATTTAGTGTTATTTTATCAATATTGTCATATCAAAATTAATTCAACCAATTTTTCACAAACACTTCTCCGTTATTTAGAGTCGATAGCAAAAATAAAAATAAATTATACATGTTTTCCTCTTTTAATATACTGGAGACATTCTTTTAAGAATAAAATCATACAATTTAAAAACAGATAATATTTTAGATATGTTAATTGATCTTAATAACGCTATCATAACAAACATGAGATTATAATACTTTCATTCCTAGATGAAATATTGGTGTTCATCGTAGGGTCGCATAACTTTAGTCTTCAACTATGGACTATGTTCAGATAAGTTCATGAGTTCAACATTGTTTAAGAGTCGAAATTATTGATAATTTATATGTATTCTCTTCTCTTAACTTGCGAAGATGCTTTTATGGACTAAATCGTGAGAAATTAAAACTCAAAAGTCGACAATACCTCGGATATGATTATTAATTCTAACAATACTCTTATAATAGATATATGAACTCAAAACATTTTCATTCTTAGACGAAAACACTACAAATATTAAATCACATAAACATAAAAATACAGGTGATGACATAAATATAATATAATAATATAACATAAAAATTAGAAAATATATTTAATAAATAAATAAATTTTAATAAAAAAAATGTATTACGTAAAATAATATGGTATATGAAAAAAATGGAAGAATGAATAAAAAAAGGAAGTTAAATATATAGATCATTCATTAATTAGGAATAAACTCACAATTTACAAGTTGAAAGAAAATATGTGCAAAAGTTTAACTTTTTGCGAAGAAAAAAATTGCATGCAATTTAATTGTCTTTTAAATGTATTTTAAAAATCAAGTTAAATAATTTGAAGGAATATAACAAATGTATATTTCAATAAACCATGAAACCTAATGTTAGGTATAGGTATAATTTATTTATAAATAATGAGTGACCAAGAATAACTTTAATGTGGTAAATTATTTTTTTATAAATATGTATTTTAATCTAATGATTAAATGTGAATCATATTAGACTATTTATATTAACAAAACAATAAATAATATAATAAGATAATTCCATTGTTTGAGTAAGACATGTTAAGAAAGTAATTAATTAACAAACATAATTATATCTACGAAAATTGAAGCCAACCAATCCCAATGACTCATGTGGAGAAGATGGGAGGATTGGAACACTAATCATTATTATGATGATGATTAAGCTTAGTTAATGCACATAATAAAAATTCAAACTCAAATAATTAGTGAATAAGTTGAAAAGTGGGTGGATAATAATATGTTATAAGAATATGAGTACGGAAGCATAGTACATTTTCCACTATAAATTACTTTTCGATGATATTCATTGTATTGATGTCTTTTTATTACAAACTATTTCCAAAAATTTTAGTTTAAAAAAATTTTTGAGTTGAAGTTGATTTTGTCACATAAGTCCAAACCAATAATATGATGACACGTAAACTTGCATTTTACTCCTCAGCATGTGAATAAAAATTATACAAATTAAAAAATTATCAAAATAAAACTGAATCATATTTTAAAGAAGGTTTCAATGTTATCACGATCCATACTTCCAGAAGAAAGAAAAATGTTACGGCAATAGAAATAGGATAACAACAATTAAGATAATAAAAAAAATTATGAATTTGAAGGTACAATTTTGAATTTAAGTTTATAAAGTGAAGAAGGAAACAATTATTGTTTCCATAGTTAAAATATTCCAACTGAAAACATAGAATAAATCTGTTAACTTTGTCCTGAATCTCCATCCTCCTCCATCCAAAATGAAGGTAAAGGAAAGCATAAAAGAACTTTTATTTTTTCGAATGTTGACTTTTCACTGTTCAGTTTTAAAATGTCACACAAACATGAACACTTATCATCTTTCTGTTGAGATAGTTCTAAACTCATTCTTAAGGACTAGTTCACTTTACTAATAAATTCAGAATATTTTTAGAGTATGAATTTAGATTCTACTAAACTTTCAAAATTAGTTCATAAGATGAAAGTTATATATATATATATATATATATATATATATATATATATATATATATATATATATATATATATATATTATTTTCCTTATATCATTTATTAATACGATGTTTAACATCTTTATCATATTCAAAAACATTTCAAATGTGAATTTTGTTATAAATATTTATGAGTGATCTAGTCATATCTAATAACAAATGATTTCATAAATTCAATTATAATAAATTAGATAAATTTAATATTATCTTAAAAATTAAATTAAAGTCTAAGCCAAATAAATTAACCTTTTGTTTTAAAGTATGTTGCAATTTAAATATTTATCTAATAATTTTGATTTATTATGAGAATTCTAAGTATAATCATTATAAAAAGTTTTATGTAATTTTTTTTATATGATTAAATTTGTTATAAATATTTATCAAATATTTTCTTGCATAAAAACCTTGTCACCAATTCTAAATACAAATAAAAAATAAAATAATAAACTAAAATAAATAAGGAAATTTCAAATAACAGTAAGATTTGGAAATAATGAAAACTAAAAAACAAAGTATTGTGAAAAAGAAAATGTTGTAATTACAAAATAAATTAAATGAAAATGTAATATATTTTTACATATTTATCTTATAAAATGTTATTTATTTCAGTTTAAATTTAAACAGTTTAAAAAGTTTTTATTTTGACAGTTTAAATTAATCAACATAAAAATTCTTTGATAATATAAAAAATAATATATATATATATATATATATATATATATATTAATTTATATGTTAGTTTAAATTCAAATTATATTTTTTTAATTACAAAATTATCATTATCTCACTTATAAATGGATTAGAATCATTATAATAAATTGTTATTATTTTTTCTACCAATAATTAAAATTAAAAAAATATTTTTATAAATTATTAGTAAATAATTGAAAAAGTAACATAATAATAATAAAATATTAAGCTTAATTCTATATAACTTATAAAATTAAGATTTAAATAAAATATACAAAATACAATAAAAAAATTAGTGTAAGTAAAGAAAATTGACCTGAAACAAATAGCATATAATAATCGATATTATCTAAGAGATATAAGAACTTCAAATTTATTATTAATATTTATTGTTATAGTCAATATTAATTTTTAAACTA